TGTCCAAGACGACTTGTGAAACTTTTAACTGTAGAGCTTGTAGTCAGAGATGTTGCTTGTAATAAGCAAGCAAGTTCACATAGCTACTACAATTGTGAGCTTCGACTTGACAATTTGTAAAACTTTAAGCCATAGTGTTGGCAGTCGGACGCGCTACTTTTAAATAAGCAGACATGTTTGCATAACCACTATGGTCGTGAGTTTCAGCTTAGAGATCTTACAAAGTTGTTAGACACATGGTCGACAATCGAACGTCTTACTTATAGAAGCATACCGGCCTACGTAGTCTTATCATAAGCCTTAGCCTTTTGAAGCTTTGATTCTTCAATCCCTTGAGCTGCATGGCCTGCATCACAACATACTAAAGATTTATGGGACAAAATTCGCTAACCAATCACGTCATAAATGTGCAGTCGTATGGAATTTCGTGGGTAATGATTCAAGGAATACATTGCACTTTACGTAACCAATTTCGTGGGTTGTGCAGCCTTACAACATTTTTGGAATCAGTGTGTAGGTATCCAAGGGGCTATTTTACACTCGGCAATGTGTAGTAACCCAAAGGTCTGTTTTGCACTTGTAGACTACGTAGCATGTTGGCCGTGGATAGAGTTTTATATGGACACGAAGATTGCTAACTAGTCATAGCAAAAATGTGCAATTATGTGAATCTTCATGGGCAGAGGTTCTGCACTTAGCTTCTCTTTCAGTAGAGACCCGGGTTCCTATGAAATCAAATCCTTCAGTTAGCTAGGACTTGAAAGAGACTATCATGGCCAATTTTAGGAATGACTTCTTAAATCTTCATTGAAAATAAAGATATCTATCAACTTTGCGGAATGTAGAAACTGCATAACAACTGGGATAATCATTGTCTGCGAGGTCTTGTTTGTTGAGCTGCTTAAGTCTTCAAACTTATTTGGCTTGAACGGGGTTTAATGAAAGATGGGAGCTCATACATAGTCATTCCGCAGGTTGTAAGCATTCTACTGTTTCTCGATCTTTTTGTTGTTCATAGTGGGAGGGTGTAGCTGCCCTTTCCACCTACTCAGCTGATCTTGTACAGCTCTTCTCAGATCGAATCCATCTTTTTGAAGCCTTCCCGTGAGGCAATGGTGAAGGCTTTTCTGATGACCAAATCTCTAGGTTGGAACTGCCGAATTTTCGCCCTCATATTGTTGCTGGAGATGAGCTACTGCTGGTAGGCCGCGATGCTGGTGATATCCTTCTCGCATTCTTGCTCTGCCAAGTCTAAGTTTGTGGCAATCTCCTTTATGTTCTTGCTCTAGATGGTGCATTCTTGCACTTGTCATTCTTCTTCCCCCCACGTGGTTGTGTCTCTCCTTTTTTACACCGTACTAATGGCTTGTATTTATAGTAGCAGGAAGCCTTCTAAGCTCCAGTTGAGGAATCTCTTGGTCTTTTCTCCATTTCCAAATCAGTTAAGTCTTCCCTTCATAATTCCTTGGCTATAACTACGAGCCATGTGAAGGCTGTTTGAGCACACTGCCCAAAATTTCTCCTTTCTGAGACCAAGTCCCATAGTGCCTTTCTTGGATCAATTCCCACAACACGACATATCTTTGTTAACGCTCCTTCTTGCTTTCTCTCCTTTTTTTTCCTATGTGAACTTGGAAAAGAAAAATTATTTTCTGCACAAACAAGAGGCATGCGGCTCTAGGTAAACATGTGATTTGTTCTGATTTGGTTAGCTCAGTTTTGGGTTTTGGTTGGTTTCGAAGTTTTCTAGTTGGTTTGTAAGGGAAATGGGAAAGATAAAGCTATTATCTCTCAAGCCCGTTACGTGGCTGAGGTCATTTAAGTGTGTCGCATATTTGGCGTGACTCGTATTATAATATTAATGTATTAATATCATAATATGGCTTGGCATGGTAGATATGCATGATTTGCATGGGCTTGGCGTCTAACAAACTATTATTTTATTGACGTGACATGATTGTAAATTGGCATATTCTCCATTTTGTACTTTATGTTCGGATTTAAGCTTGGCTTGTGGCGCTTCCACAACTATTTGGCCTTGAGACATGATTGGGCTTCTAAGTGTCATTTTTGGGCCCCAACACCTATAAATAAAAGAGGTTTCGCAACGAGAAAGGGATCTTCAACTCAACACTCAAACTAACGCTCAACGCGAACCCCTTTCACACCCTAAGAAAAATAGTAACTGCTCACTAACCTCTTCCCAGTTGGCATGTAATCATTTTGGTTAAACAACACTTTCATATCCTTGTTGGTTTCCTATACAAGTCTTAGTCGAGCAAAAGTTTCTTGTTCTCTTCCTGAAAGAAGTCACTTCATCAATCTCCTAGCGGAGTAAGGCGTTCTATGATTGATTACTCCCAAGTAAATTTAGAGTTTGGTATTCATTTGGCCGAACAACTTTCACCATAAGGACGCTAATTTCCTTTGAGTATTTTTGGCCTTACAGCCTGATACTGATTCGACGCACTTATATTCTCATAAATACAATTGAAGCACCGAACCAGGTGCAGAAGATCCTAAATTGCAGCGAGATTTGCAACCTTGTGTTCTGGTTCTAAGAATCCTAGGCCGACAGTATTTCTTCCTCAACCATAGTCGCTCGGTCCACCACTATATTCATCTTACTCACCCGATTGACCTTGATGGCGAGTTGACATGCCTTCATCAATCACAAAAGGACATAGTTAGCTCTTAGTTACTGGTCTATGTGCCACGTAAGTTCTTGGAAATTAATTATTATTATTATTATATTGAATTTATTAATTGAATGGAAATTAGAAGTGATACCTTTTGGTGGAAAGATGTGTTTATTCAAATAAAGAATTGCAACTTTTGACTCTTCATGAATGGTCACATGCTTTCAATACAGGTATATCAAATTCTACAAATAGGAAAGCCCCCTATAATCACTTAACAACTTTTTATCATACATGTGCACTAAAAATTAGAGAGCCTACATTGAGTCTATGTGAGAAAGTTTTCAACACAATCGTAGTTCATTGGAGTCTTGTGATTTGTAGTGCTATTATTATAAGGACATGGTCGTTGTATCTTGGGAGACAAGCGATGATCAACCATAAACATCGTAGTGGGTCGTAAACTTGTTTTAAGAACAAAGTATCCAACACTTGCATCGACCATATTTTCAGGTTTTTCTAATCCACTATCTCATGTTCATTTAACATTAGATACTCATGTGCATGCATTAATTTGATATATAAATGCATGAATTATTTCTTAATTTTCTATGTGATTTAATATAACAATTAGACCCTAATTTTTTCCACATAAGTTTGGTAATGTTAAAGGTCAACAGTAACATAAAAGAGTCTCTCTTACGATCCTACGTAAACCCAAAACATGCCTATTTTGTCAGGTTTCACTAAACAATTTGTAATGATGTAATCTCTATCCCACAACAAATGTGACTGGTAGAGACGTATATCACTAAATTACAACAATTCAACTCTACCTCCTATTTATAATATAAAGGAAAGTACAAAAATTGGGACGTAGATACTAAGTTGAACGAAGCTTGGCTACTAAAAAATCAGTAGCAGCTCCTGCTGCTAGCGAATCACGGGTGGGCATGTGTCCAAGTCGTAATTATAAAATCAATTACTTGGACACGTGTCCACCTGTGATTTGCTAACAGCAGGAGTTGCTGCTGATTTTTTCAGCAGCCAAGCTTTGTCCCACTAAGTCTCTAAGTTACGAGAAATTATTATATTTAAGGGTTAAACTTTGTTTACTACTCTCATATTTCATGGTTTTCAACATTTAGTACATCAAGTTTTTTTCATCACAAAGTCACAAATCTGCAACCTAGAAGAAGAAGAAGAAGAAGAAGAAAAAGAAAAATAAAAATCTGCAACCCAGAAGAAGAAGAAAAAAAAAAACTGAATCTGCAACCCAGATTAAGAAAAAGGAGGAAGAAGAAAAAGAAGAAAAAAAAAATCAAATCTGCAACCCAGAAGAAGAAGAAGAAGAAGAAGGATGAGGAGGAGGAGAAGGAAGAAGAAGAAGAAGAAAAAAAAAATAGCAATCCAAACCTAGGTCGTCCCCCCCCTGGCCCTGTGAACGCGTACCCAGAAGGTTCTTCTTCTGGGTTGCAGATTCGGTTTTTCTTCTTCTCGTTCCTCCTCCTTCTTCTTTTCCTTCTTCTTCTTCTTTTGGGATGCAGATTCGGTTTTTTTTTTTTTTTTTCTTCTTCTTCTCATTCTTCCTCCTTCTTCTTCTCCTTTTGGGTTGCAGATTAATATTTTTTTTCTTCTCCTTCTTCCTCCTTCTTCTTCTCTTTCCCCTTCTTCTTCTGGGTTGCAGTTTGGTTTTTCTTTTTTTTTTTTTTCCTTCTTCTTCTTTTTCTCCTTCTTCCTCCTTCTTCTCCTTTTGGGTTGCAGATTAGGTTTTTCTTCTTATTTTTTTCTTCTTCTTTTCCTTCTTCCTCCTTCTTCCTTTGGGTTGTAGATTCGGTTTTTTTTTTCTCTTCTTCTTCTTCTTCTGGGTTGGGGGGAGGGATGGTTTTTTTTTTTTTTTTAACTTTTATTTAATTAATTATTTTAATGTTTTTTAATGACACATGGTGCCCAGTCATTGTCCACCTGGTGCCACATCATCACTTAACGGGAGAATTAAGAGTTTGACTAACGAATGTATGAGAGTGTCCCAAAATTTACACTTTAGGTATGACTCTGGGATGAAAAAAACTTGACGTACTAAATGTTGAAAACCATGAAACATGAGAGTAGTAAACAGAGTTTAACCCTATATTTAATTGTTTCTTATCTGCTTCACATGTTCTTTCATTACCACATTTACCTATAAAAGAAATCGAATGATTAATGCAAAAAAATAGTAATAATAAATAATAGAGGACAAAGGTCACTTTCACTGCTTGTCATGAATCCATTTCTTTTTAACAAGTTGGAGAGCAGATTATTATGATAAATATAAAGAACAACCCGCCCACATCAGATAGACATTAAAGAAATATGACAGTGAAGGAGAATACATAACCTGCTGTTCTATAAGTATCATTTTTGTTGGCTAGGTATATACATCTCTGGAGCTTAACCATAGACCCCTCAAAACCTCTTCAAACAATGGCCAAACTTACAGTGGTAGATTTCTCCGATAAAGACTGCTTCAAGCCAGGGACCAGTTCTTGGCTCTCATTACGCAAAGACATTTGTCATGCACTTGAAGAGCTTGGTTGTTTCGTGGCAAAACTACCCGACCTAATTCCTTCTGAGATTCACAGTCCCTTCTTTGGTACGTTGGATGAGTTGTTTGATTTCCCAACCGAAACCAAGCTGCAAATTACTTATGAAAGGCCTTTCCCCATGGGCTACATATCTTTGAACGCGGCTAATGAAAGCTTGGCGATTGGTTATCCTACAAACCCTGAAGAAACTAAAAAGTTTACGCATCACTTTTGGCCCAATGGAAACGATCAATTCTGGTATAAAATCTCAACTGAAATCCATCATAAAGATCCCAAGAAGATCGTCAAAATGTTATTTTTTTTCTTTTTAATTTTTACACATTTACACTGTTATAATTTGTTCTTTGTTGGGCAGTCAGGGTGCTGATTTGTATGCAAAAATGATGGAAAAGGTAGATCATGCTGTGACAAGAATGGTGTTTGAAAACTATGGCGTAGAGAAGTACCATGATGATCACATTCGATCAGTTATTTACTCCTGCAAATTTAATAAATACAATGAACCTGAGAAAAGTGGAATTGATGTGGGAATGCCCGGCCATACAGACAAGGGCTTTAGCACCGTACTCTGTCAAAATCATGTCAAAGGTCTGGAAATAAAGTCAAAGAACGATGAGTGGATTTCTTTTGATCCTGCGCCTTCATCCTTAATCTTTATAGCTGGTGATGGATTTAAGGTATGGCACAAAATTATGTGATATACATGTCACGAGTTTGGTAATAAATTAAATGTTTTTTTTTTTTTTGAACAAACGATATTATTTACGTTAAGGGAGAGAGGATATACTTAGCCTCACAATGTGCTAGCAATAATGTGGTTCAAATTTGCCTTTGACGAGAATTGAACCTAAGACTTTTCACTTACAAGTGAAGAGGAATACCGCTAGACCGTAGTACTAAATGACGGTAATAAATTAAAGTTTTAGAATTGAATAACGAAACCTATGATCATTTGGTCTATTGGAACCCAGTCTCAACTCCCCACTTTGGCAGGAAAAAAATATTAAGTGACTCATGCTCAACTTACAAATTGATATTCGTTAAAAAAAAAAAAAAAAACACTTACGATTGATATCATTGTATAATTTGTATTCCAACATGTGCTAAATCTTAACAGGCGTGTTTGTGGTTTTGGTTGACCTAGGTTTGGAGCAACGACAGAATTCAAGCTTGTAAACATCGAGTCACCTTAAGGGAGAATGGTGTAAGACACTCGTTAGCTCTATTTTCATACAAAGAAGGGGAAACATGCGTACCCAATGAGCTTGTAGACAAGGACCACCCCCTAAAGTATAAGCCATTGCATCTGTTAGAATATGTTCAATATTTCATGGAGAATTACCCCACACTTGGACCTAACTTTTCCATCAAGACATATTGTGGCGTTTGATCTGTCGGGTCCGAGACTCCAAGTCAATCCCTCTTGTTGTAAATAGTGGGTAAGTTTGCCCACATGTGTATAGTAAATACTCATATGCTAAATAATAATCCTTTTGTAAGTTTCCATTGAAGTGGCTCTATAAATAGAGCACTTCGATTTCAAAGTTGGTGAATATCAAGAAGAGAAAAGAAAAAAAATATAATACTCTCAGTATCCCTAATTTTCTAATACCTGCAATACTTTTGTGGTGATAGTAAAATTTTGGGCAAAAGACTGTTTACTACCCTCAAGTTTCATGGTTTTCAACATTTAGTACATCAATTTTTTTTCGTCTCAGAGTCATACCTAAAGTATAAATTTTGGGACAGTCTCATACATCCGTTAGTCAAACTGTTAGTTTTCCCGTTAAGTGATGACGTGGCGCCTATGTGGACAATGACTGGGCGCCACGTGTCATAAAAATATTTAAAAAATTAATTAAATAATTAAAATTAAAAAAAAATTAACAATCCATTTTCCCCCTCTCCCCCGTGCCCCCAACCCAGAGGAAGAAGAAGGAGAAAAAAAAAGAAAAAAAAAAAGCCGTTTGCAACCCAGAAAAAGAAGAAGGAGGAAGAAGAAGGAAGAGAGGAAGAAGAGAGTTTCAGGAGAGAAAGGGGAGAGTTTCGGCCAAGGGGAGAAGGAGAGAGAAATGAGGTGGCGAATGAGGGAGGAGGAAAGGAGAGAAAGGAGGGAGGGGAGAAGGAGGGGAACGGCCGGGTCTCTCCTTGACCCGCGACCTGACCTGCATCATTCTTTGTTTTCCGACAAATTTTCACCCATTTTTCCGGCAAATTGCACTACCTAACCACCTAGAATCAACTTCATGACCTTCCCTCTACCTATTACATTCCAAATTTGGAGAGATTTGATCGTGAAAATGGAAGAAACTGTGAGGGGTGCGGTGGTGTGACGGCAATCCGTCATTTTTGAAGTAAATCTCGTCAACCACCACCACCATTAGACTCCCGTAGAACCCAGGAACAAAGCCCAAACAGTTGTGGAGGTGTTTGGAACAAGTGGGTCGCGGGGGGGGGGGGGGACGAATTCATCTTTGCCGATTCAGGTTTTTTTTTTTTTCCTTCTTCTTCTTCTTCTTCTTCTTCTTCTTCTTCTTCTTCCTCCTCCTTCTTCCTCCTTCTTCTTCTTCCTTTTCTTCTTCTTCTTCTGGGTTGGCAGACGGTTTTTTTTTTTTTTTTTTCTTCTCCTCCTTCTTCTTCTTCTGGTGTTGCAGATTCTGTTTTTTTTTTTTTTTTTTTTCTTTTCTTTCTTCTTCTTCTCCTTCTTCTTCTTCTTCTTCTTCTTCTCCTTCTTCTTCTTCCTTCTTCTTCCTCTTCTGGGTTGGCAGACAATTTTTTTTTCTTTTTTTTTTCTCCTTCTTCTTCCTCTGGGTTGGGGGCATAGGGGGAGAGGGGGAAAATGGCTGGTTTGTTTGTTTTTTATTTTTTTTTAAATTTTAAAATTTAAAATTTTAATTATTTAATTAAATTTTTTAATATTTTTAATGACACATGGCACCCAGTCATTGTCCACGTGTGCGCCATGTCATCACTTAACGGGAGACTTAACAGTTTGACTAACGGATGTATGAAACTGTCCCAAAATTTACACTTTAGGTATGACTCTGAGACAAAAAAAAATTGATGTACTAAATGTTGAAAACCACGGAACATGAGGGTAGTAAACAGTCTTTTGCCCTAAAATTTAAACAGTGTGATATTTTGCACCACTTCGTCCTCGCTCTTAGCAAAGGTTATTTCTCTAACTTTTGCCTATTTATAACACGTTATCAGCACGATTCTCTAATCTTTTCCCATTTTCCCTTCATCGAAAGAAAAAAAAAAGTTTCCTCTAAGGTTTTTACTGTTCTTCTTCTTCCTCTGCCTCAATTGCTGGATATACCCACGCGAAGAACTGCTTGCACCATGTTTACTTCTAGTTCTTAATCTAATAGTTACTTATATCTTTGATTTCTTGTTTGGTGTAACTCTTGACTATTAACTCAGTGTTTATTTATGCAATCCAAGACGGTGCGATATCATCCCCTATCTTGGACTGCAGATCTAATTTTAGTAAAAACTTTATATGGAGCGGTATAATCGCCCACCTTATCCTGCATATTTAACTTTACTTGATATTTAATTTTATTGCAATTTTAGGTGGTGTGGAATAATCACCCACTCTGCTCTGCATATTTAAATTTTATTGCAATTTTAGGTGGTCCGGTATAATTGTCCACCCTGCTCTGTATATTTAAATTTTATCGCAATTTTAGGTGGTGCGATATAATCGTCCACCCTGGTGCGGTATATTCGTCCACCCTACACTGTATATTTAAATTTTATCACAATTTTTAGGTGGTGCGGTATAATCGTCCACCCTGCTGTGAATATTTAAAATTTCCTGCTGTTTAAAGTGGTGTGAAAAATCGTCCATCCTTGTTTCGATGAAAATGGTGTGGTATAATCGCCCTTCTCATTAATCATGAAAATCTCGAGCCTAAAGTTTCGAGTACTAATCATTTTGGCCTGAAGATCAAAATTTGTTAGAACCAGAAGTTCTAACAATATATTCCCCCAGAACACATATTATTGCAAGTTCTTACACACCTCATTTTTCTTTCAGAAAAGAAAATGGCAAACTTGGCAAAACTTGATTTTGCTGCCCTAGACATTATTGGGAAGAATTACCTTACCTGGGTACTGGATACCAAGATCCATCCGGAAGCAGCGAATCTTGGAGATACCATCAGGGAAAAGAGCAGCTCATCCTCTCAAGATCGGGCGAAGGCCATGATTTTTATTCATCACCATCTTGATGAGGCACTAAAGAGAGAGAGTACTTAATGGTTAAAGATTCGTTAGCCCTCTGGAAGGCCTTGAGAGACAAATACAATCACCAGACAATGGTGATTCTTTCAAGAGATCGCTATGAATGAACTCACCTAAGGATCCAGGATTTCAAGTCAGTGGCTGAGTACAATTCTGCGTTGTTTAGAATTACCTCTCAGATGAAGCTCTGTGGGGATACTATTACTGAGGAAATGTTACTGGAAAAGACTTTCAGCATATTTCATGCTTCTAACGTGCTCCTGCAGCAGCAGTATAGAGCATAAGGCTTCACTGAATACAACCAGTTGATATCTGTGCTCCTGGTAGCTGAACAGAACAATGAGCTCCTGATGAAAAACCATAATTCCGGACCTACTAGATTAGCACCGTTCCCAGAAGTGAATGCTGCTTCCCCTGAATGGAATACCATATCCTCCCGTGGTAATAATTACAAACGAGGACGTGGCCACAAGCGAGGCCGATGGAATGGGAAAGGGAAGAACCATGGTGTCTAATTTCACAACCAGGTTCCAAGGCATAATCCAGGCCCGAGCTTTAAAAATACAAATCGCCAGAAAGGAAAAGCTCATATGAACACTCCTAGAAATCCTGAATGAGTTTGCCATAGGTGTGGTGGCAACGGACATTGGGCGCGTACTTGTCGCACCCCAAAGCATCTGGTGGATATGTGTCAAGCCTCCTTCAAGGAGAAATGTGTTGAGATCAATTTCTTCGACCAGGCTCAACCAATGGAAACACCTGATCCAGTGACCAATTTATCAGGACAGTTAAACACAACCCACCTAGATGCTACAAACTTTATTAATGAAAGAGGGAATGAAGTTTATGGGTCTAATTGAATTATTTATGTTTAATGTACTCTTGTTTTTTTTTTTTTTTTTTTTTTTTTTTTTACTTGTGGTTTAATGCTCGCATTTTCAATTCAATAAAAGTAGTATTCCAGTATGAATAAACTGTTTTTTCTTTACTCAGAGAACATGGATAAAAATTATGGTTATTCTCAAAACAAGAGCAATGGCGGAGACTTTTGTCTTGCAGACAGCGCAACCACGCATTCAATACTTCGAGATCGAAAGTATTTCTCGAATTTTGTACTTGCAAAAGTAAAGGTAACAACAATATCAGGGCAATCAGATGTAATTGAAGGCTCAGGAAAAGCCCAGCTTATGTTACCAAATGGAACAATATTGTCCATAAAGAATGCATTATATGCTACTCGATCTATTCGAAATTTGTTGAGTTTTAAAGACGTACGTCTAAATGGATACCACATTGAAACGAAAAGTGTAGAAAATGTGGAATATTTATGCATTACCTCCAATGATACCCAGAAGCGTATATTGGAAAAGTTGCATGGTTTATCGAGTGGATTGTATTATACATACATAAAGACAGTTGATGCATATACTGTCATGAACCAGAAGTTCATTGATTCAAAGGTTTACATGCTTTGGCATGATCATCTAGGTCATCCAGGATCTACCATGATGCGTAGAATCATTACCAACTCTAATGGACATCCATTATTGAGCAGACACATTGATGTCTTAAATGATAACCCTTGCAAGGCTTGTTCCCAAGGGAAGTTGGTAATTAGAGCATCACAAGTAAAGGTTGATGATGAATCCTCATCTTTTTTGCAAAGAATTCAAGGGGATATTTGTGGACCTATTCAACCACCTTGTGGACCATTTCAATATTTTATGGTTTTGGTTAATGCATCTACCCGATGGTCACATGTTTGCCTATTGTCTACTTGAAATGTAGCTTTTGCAAGACTTCTTGCTCATATAATTAAGTTGTGAGCACAGTTCCCATATCATCCCATTAAGTCCATTCGACTTGATAACGTTGGTGAATTTATGTCTCAAACCTTTGATGATTACTACATGGCACTGGGCATTGATGTTGAACATCCTGTTCCTCATGTCCATACCCAAAATGGTTTAGCAGAGGCATTTATCAAGCGGCTTCAATTAATAGCTCGTATTCTGCTCATGAAAATCAAATTGCCAGTCTATGTATGGGGACATGCCATCTTACATGCAGCATCATTGGTTCGACTGAGACCCATAGCCAACCACTAATACTCATCAATACAACTCATGTTTGGACATCAGCCAAATATTTCACATTTACGAGTTTTTGGTTGTGCTATTTATGTGCCTATTGCACCGCCACAACGAACTAAAATGGGACCTCAGCGTAGACTGGGAATTTATATGGGTTTTGATTCACCATCTGTCATTAGATATTTGGAACCTTTGACTGGTGATATGTTTACATCTCATTTTGTTGATTGTCATTTTGATGAAACAGTCTTCCCGACGTTAGGGGGAGAAAAGACCGTTCCAGAAGAACGGCAAGAGCTGACATGGGTTGTTCCCACCTTATCTACACAAGATTATACCTATTTGGAAGCCCAATGGTTGCCGGAGATGGCCGAAAAATAGCTTGAAAGGTGACCGATCTGCAGGAAAATTGGAAAACTCGCCAGAAACTGGGCAAACTTTAAACATTCATAACTTCTTTAATACTCAACAAAATCGAGTGATTCAAAAAACAAATCATACTTCTCGATGAGATAAAGAGAATGATACTTTTCTCGATGGCTAAATTGCCTTGGTTTGGCTGAAAAATGGCTCGAAACTAGCTATCTTGGTCTCGAGCTTGCCAAGGAACTTGAACGAAATAGTGCGCTCCCACCGCCCAGGAAACGGTGCGCGCGCAGGTGCGTTGTCGTCTTGAATATATAAAAACGACTCTAGACAACGGATATCTTGGCTCTCACATCGATGAAAAACGTAGTGAAATGCGATACTTGGTGTGAATTGCAAAATCCCGTGAACCATCGAGTTTTTGAATGCAAGTTGCACCCGAAGCCATTAGGCAAAGGGCATGCCTATTTGGATGTCACACGCCGTTGCCCCTTCCCCCGCACCTCCCTTGGGAGCATTAGGGGTTGGATAATGGCCTTCATTGAGTCACCCCGAACGGTTGGCACAAATACAGGTCCTCGACAACGAACGCCACGACAATCGGTTGTTGTCAATCCTCGGTTGCCTGTTGTGCACTTTCACCTCGCTCTGAGCGGCTCGTGACACTCGCTGCTCTACTTCGTTGGAGCTTTCAACGCGACCCTAGGTTAAGCGGGGTTACCCACTGGATTTAAGCATGTCAATAAGTGGAGGAAAAGAAACTTGCAAGGATTCCTTTAGTAACGATGAGTGAACCGGGAATAGCCCAGCTCAAATTATAGTCTGGAGAAGCATCCTTAGCAATGGACCGAGCTTAAGTCCATTAGAAGGTGGCATCGGAAAGGGTGAAAGCCCTGTTGTGCTCGTACCTTGTCGCACGACGAAGTGATGTCGGTAAGTCGGGTTGTTTGGGAATGCAACCCCAATCGGGCAGTAAATTATGTCCAAGGCTAAATACTACCGAGAGATCGATAGCAAACAAGTACCATGAGGGAAAGATGAAAAGAACTTTGAAAAGATAGTCAAAGAGTGCTTGAAATTGTCAGGAAGGAAGCGGATGGTGGCTGGCGATGCGCCCTGGTCGAATGTGGAACAGTCACAAGTTGATCCTCTGATCAGCTCGGGGTGTGGACCGTAGAGATACCATCATCGCGATCGTGGTGGGCAGCGTGGGCCTTCTCGGGGTGCTTCGGCAACTGTGGGCTTTTGGCGCCTGCCAGTGAGCTCCCCATTCGACCTGTCTTGAAACACAGACTAAGGAGTCTGATATGTGTGTGAGTTAATGGGTGATTAAACCCGTAAGGTGTAAGGAAGCTGACTGTCAGGATCCATTTGAGGGTTGCACCACTGATCGACCTTGATCTTCTGAGAAGGGTTCGAGTGTGAGTATGCCTGTCGGGACCCGAAATATGGTGAACTATGCCTGAGCGGAGCGAAACTAAAGGGAACTCTGGTGGAGGCTTGCAACGATACTGACGTGTAAATCGTTTGTGTGACTTGGGTATATGGGTGAAAGACTAATCGAACCGTCTACTAGTTGGTTCCTTCCAAAGTTTCCTTCAAGATAGCTAGAGCTCATGAACAAGTTATATCGGGTAAAGCCAAGGATTAGAAGCATTGGGGGCTCAATGCCCTCGACCTATTCTCAAACTTTAAATAGGTAGGATGGTGTGGCTGCTTTGTTGAGTTACACCATAGAATCGAGAGCTTTAAAAGGTGTTGGTAAGTAAAACTGGCAATGCCGGATGAACCAAAAGCCGGGTTACGGTGCCCAACTGCGCGCTAACCTAGAACCCACAAACAGTGGTCATGAAAGTTGAAATCCTCTAAGGAGTGTGTAACAACTCACCTGCTGATTCAACTTGCCCCAAAAATGATTGCGCTGAAGAGCGTGACCTATACCCGACCGTCGAGGCAAGTGCCAGGCCCCAATGAGTAGGAGGGAGTGGCGGTCGCTGCAAAACCTAGGGCACGAGCCCGAGCGGAGTTGTTGTGGGTGTAGATCTTTATGGTAGTAGCAAATATTCAAATGAGAACTTTGAAGGCCGAAGAAGGGAAATGTTCCATGTGAATGGCACTTGCACATGGGTTAGTCAATCCTAAGAGACCGGGGAAGCCCGTCTAATAACGCCTCGCGCGAACTTCGAAAGAGAATCGAGTTAAAATTTCTAAATTGGGACGTGGCGGTTGTTATCTTTTTTATTTAACAACCTGCCCACCCCAGAAACAGCTTAGCTGGAGGTAGGGTCTAACGGTTAGAAGAGCATCGCACATCGTGTGGTGTCCGGTGCACCCCTGGTGGCCCTTGGAAATCCGGATCAAGTATCCAAGATGAACAATCTCTGGTCGATTGAATAATGTAGGCAAGGGAAGTTGGCAAAATGGATCTGTAACTTCGGGAAAAAGATTGGCTTTAAGGAATGGGCACGAAGGTCCTAGCCTAGAATTTGTCGGCTGTCGGCAGACTACTCGAGCTGCTCACATGGCGATAGTGGGTCTCCGTATTCCAGTCGGGGGAAAGACTAGGAATGGTTCCTTCAAGACTTTCCCCAGGCAGTGAACATTCAGCTCAGAACTGGTATGAACAAAGGGAATCCGACTGTTTAATTAAAACAAAGCATTGCAATAGTCCATTCGGATGCTAACGCAATGTGATTTCTGCCCAGTGCTCTAAATGTCAAAGTGAAGAAATTCAACCAAATGCGGGTAAATGGTGGGAGTAACTATGACTTTCTTAAGGTAGCCAAATGCCTTATCATCTAATTAGTGATACGCATGAATGGATTAAAAAGGTAAAAGATCATTTGATTCTGATTTCCAGTACGAATACGAATTGTGAAGGCGTGGCCTATCGATCCTGTAGACCTTCAGAATTTGAAGCTATAGGTGTTAGAAAAGTTACCACATAGGTAACTGGCTTGTGGCAACCAAGCGTTCATAGCGACGTTGTTTTTTTATCCTTCGCTATCGGCTTTTCCTATCATTGTGAATCAGAATTCACCAAGTGTTAGATTGTTCACCCACCAATAGGGAATGTGAGTTGGGTTTAGACCGTCGTGAGATAGGTTAGTTTTACCATACTGATGACAGTGTTGCATTAGTCATTCAACCTAGTACGAGAGGAACCGTTGATTTACACAATTGGTCATCGTGCTTGGTTGAAAAGCTAGTGGCGTGAAGCTACCCTGCGCTGGATTATGACTGAATGCCTCTAAGTTAGAATTCGGGCTAAAAGCAATACGTGCTGCCCGATTGCACACTTGCAATAGGGGCCTCGGCCCCCAAAGGCTCATATCGATGGTCAAGCACAGTATACCACTTTAGGAACTCCACAACAAAATAGAGTGACTGAGAGGTGGAATAGGACACTGAAAGATATGGTGAGAAGCATGATGGCATGTCCAAAGCTTCCTCATTTTTTGTAGGGTGAAACTTTGAAAATGGCTAACTACATTTTAAATCGTGTCCCTAGTAAATCAATTTACAAGATTACATTTGGACTTTGGACAAGTAGAAAGCTAACCTTGAATCATTTACATGTGTGGCGATGCCAAGTAGAAGCTAGAATGTTTAACCCAATGAAAAGTAGAAAGCTAAGCTTGAATCATTTACTTGTCACTTTATAGGCTTTCCTAACAAGTAAAAATGGTATAAGTTTTATGCTCCAAACCTTATTTCGAGACAAACAGGGTAAAGTTTATTGAAGATGGAGAGAATTTAAGCCACCAGCAAGTGATGGAACATTTAGACCAAAGTCATGATGCTACCGAAAGTCTACAGCTCTTAATTGAATTTCAGATTGGAGACTTAAATGAATCAATGATGGAGTCAGTAACAAATCAAACATCATCTCATGTTGTTGACAATCTTGCAACACCAACAATGATGAGTGAAAGAAGAGTCATGCCATCAAGAATCAAAAGGTTTGTTATACTTGATGATTATTTAGTGTACTTTCGTGAGATTGAATTACACCAGATGGATGTCAAGACTGCCTTCCTTAATGAAGCCTTGGATTAGGAAATTTATCTGCAACAACCTCATGGTTTTATCAAAGAAGGTGAAGAAAACATGGTTTGCATGTACCATCTAGACAATATGAGAAGGTAACAACATCTGGATTCAATGAAAACAAAGCATAATCGAGAAACCCTATGCTTCATTGGTAGGGAGCCTTATGTATGTTCAGGTTTGTTGTTGTGAAATTTAAACTAACTGAAATTAGTCCAACTTAGTTCCAAATTTTATGCTTGCCAGTGCACGAATTGTTCGATAGTATAGAAAGCAAGCACTTAATATCATCCCACATAAATTAATCTAATTCTAAACAACTAACTTAAATCCAATTGCAACGTAGTAAAATTTAACAAAGATTGATAAATAATGATGGTTTTGAGAGTTGATACTAAAAGTAAAAAAAAAAAAAAAAGAATGAAAACAAGAATGTGTGATAACAACATAAAAAAATAGTAGCCAAGAAAACAAGTTGTAATTCAATCGAGTTAAACACTAGAGTGTTCGACTTACCATAACCAATCCTACTTATTTCCTGCAACGAATTATTAACAAGTACTCTGTTGATGCACAAAATCGGAGGGGTTTTTAGTACAACAGAAAGTGTTAAGTTTGAGACCTTCGCTAGATTGCTACGGTCACTAGCGTGGATAAGTATGTAAATGGATGGGGATAGGGAAGCAAACATAAGATGTATATGGTTCACCCAGATTGGCTACGTCCACGGAGTAGAGGAGTTCTCATTAATTGTGAAGGGTTTACACAAGTACATAGGTTCAAGCTCTTCTTTAGTGAGTACTAGTGAATGATTTAGTACAAATGGCATTCCAAAATATTGTGAGAGAATGATCTCTATTTATAGAATAGAGTTTCTAGTTTCATTCTAACATTGACACGTGTCGTGTTGTGATTGGCTTCTGATGTTGACATGTGTCGCGCTATGATTGGCTTCTGATCTGTGATTGGCCTCCTAGTTGGAAGGAAACTCTTCTAGGTCCTTGACTGTATAACGTTGACTGGTGCTTAGTAGTTTCGGGATTGGTCAAGTATGGTACAAATAGTGCACCCCAAAGTTCCCAAGTGATGGAAGTTCCCCGGTTGGGGACTTGCAAGATCCAAGCCATTAAGTAATCACGAAACTTCTAAGTATCAAAGTGTGGTGTCATTTTCACTTGCCTTATATGTCTCATATGTAGATGTGGCATCTTCTCTGGAAGTACTTTTCCTTCATCCAGGGGTGGTATCTTTAAACGATGAAGATGCACAATGTAATGTATCCATTTCACTTGAAGCTTACTTGTAGTTTCAGGCTTGGTCAAGTGCGATACAAGCCCTATAGTAGGAGTCCCGCAAGTCGCTGAGATAGGAGATTTGCTGAAAAAGGTAACTAACAAGGTAAGCAATCAGACTTCCAAGCAAGCAACC